AAAGAACGCGGCGGCGGTGGCGGCAGCCATGAATAAAAGCACCAGCTTCGAAGAAAAAAAAGTGAGAGAGAGAAGGAGAAAGGAGGTATAAGACAAGTAAATACCTACTATTTCTTACTCGTTCCGAGCCCCCATCTTCCTCTCTTTCTCTTTCTAACCATATAAATATATGATGATATAAATATATGATGTTGCAGTTCTGCATTTTGTTAAAAAAAAAAAAGAAAAAAGAATTGGTAATATGAAATCTCAATAAAAAATCCATGTAAATTGGAATTTCACGAACTTTAGGCTTAATTCTTTCTTCATTCATCAATTTCCTATTAAATGTATTTAAAAGTATTCAGCCAAAATATTTCTAATGCATTTGCAATAGTAATATTACATACGTATATATCACTTTTAACTCCACTTTCTTTATGATAAAGACAAATTTTCTAAAATATTACTCAACTACTCATAGGTAATTCAATAAATGTCCTTAACAATTATATAGCTCCTCCTTTTATTCATATCAAACATGATTTTCAATATCTTCGTATGCTTCGTATATCGTAATGGAACATTTTATTGAAGCTCCGACAATAGATAAATTAACTCAATAATGAATAACTTATAATTAACAAAGGCATCTGTGAGTAGCCGGGGATCAAAAGTTACATACATAAACCTTTGGATCTAGAGACCGAGACTACTAACTCAGCCTCCGCAATTCAATTATAATGTTAATATAATTCTAAAATATTATCCATGGCGCTATTTCTAATATTAGCTTTGTCTAGAAAACTTATTAAAATTTTGTCCGCATATTGCAATTCTTACCAGACTCCGTGGGCAAAACTGTTGTTTAAGACTTACAATATTTAAAAGCAATAGTATAGTCATCGTAGACCTGTATGAATTTATATTAACTTATTAAATTGCCAAGTATTTTATCACAAGACGTCACTAGCCAGAATACACAAATATAATATTGCAAATTAGTCAAATTCATTCGTGAAATAACGTTCCTAACTAATTAGCCAATTTGATAAACGAGAAATTGACAAAGTACATCCATAAACTAATTATATCCTTGAAACCTTTGATTGAAAAATAAAACTTCCGAAAGTACGAATGCCCGAGATTCGTATTTAAAAATAATGAATAAAAGAGGTGTAATTGTGAAATTGACAATAAACGAACGGTGATTGAGGATAAACAAATTATAAAAATACTAAAAACATGAAAGCTTTGTTGGGCATTGAGATATTAAGATAGTAAAGGATATCGCAACATTACATATATACATATAAACATATATATATATATATATATATATATATATATATATATATATATATACATATGCGATATTCTGATATCCAACCTATATGCGTAATTAAAAAAAAATGTTTTTACAAAACCTCTATATAACCAGTCGGCACTCTCGCTTGATTTATCGTTTTTCCATCCACCGCTCCTCTTTACTCATGCTTGGACTTCATTTTTTTCACCCTAGCTAGGTGACTGCTACGTCTCTCTTATTTACCCCTTTTCCTGTTATTTTCTTTCTGGTTTGATATACTATTCTCGTTGAGTATATCGAGCATTAGTGCGTCACGTAACTTTTATCGTGACGACTAAATTTTCTGTGTCTTACATTCTCTAGACCGAAGATTTTTCTGTAATAAACTAATAGCACGTAGATATTGCAAATAATTCTCAATTGCGTGTATTTATATTATAATAATAAGCATGAATTATTGCTAAAATATATTAAAGATTAGTGAATATTAAGTGATTCGCGTGATTCGTGTTATAAATATGAGTACATTATTTACTGAAAAATCAAATATTATGGAGGAAAAAATTATATACGAAATGATATGAGACAGTAAGAAAATATAAGAATAGATGAGTTATGAATATACAATTCTATTGTCAAGGACGTTAATACACAAAAAAATTTAATCAAGCAATATTAGTCGAGTATGATTTCATATTACAAAAACGATATAGAAAAATACTGCATTTTAACCTAAATATAAAGAAGAGTCAAAAAAAATTTTTTTATACAGAAATTAAGCAATTAATTTCATACGTGTGAATTTCATATATCTCACAGAGAAAAAAAAATATCAATTGTATTAAAATTGCATGACAACTATCGCGAATAGATTATTCTCCCTCTAATAATAAAATTTATAGCAGCTACACGATATTAGACTTTACAATTAATAATATTTTATACATTATAGCTATACATAATTAATATGTTAGTAATTGATGAACTTTTTCTCTTGTCATTTAATACAAAACATCATTAACGTTCATGATCTCATGCTAGAATATTTATAATAACATTTCTAAAATTATCACTTATCTTATATACGTTTTATATAAAAATACTTTTTCCGACAGCATAGTGTACATACTATTTTACAGTAATGAATGTGAAGTAAATAGTACTTGAGGGAAAGAATTGATGTTCCGAAATATTATATTCAAAATGAGATTTATACGTTTTGATATAAATGAGAGAAACTTACGAATATTCGGAGTTGATATTCAAATGTATACAAATTATTTGACTTCATTGCCCATTTAATTTAATTGGATTTTTTATTCACTGTAACATTTACGGATTAATCTATATCATAGCTAATTTTCAAAATATAAATAAATAATATAAATCAATGCAACAATAGTGAATAATACAATGTATAATACCTAATGAATGTTTAAGAATTTTATAATAAAAATAATAACCATGGACAGAATTATCTTTGAAATTAAAATATGTAAATATTAAATAATTAATTATTTTTCTAAAATTTATTTTAAATTAATGTGTAAAATATTCATAAGATAATTATTTCTCTAAGACTGCCAGTTCATATAAGTTATGCACTTTATAATTAAATTAAAATCAAAGTCCACATATTCAATGTAATTTTTTATAAAATACTCAAACATATTATGCCTTTTAATTTGCAAATTTTATTTGATATTGCATTTACAATTTAATATCTGATTATTAAATATTGATAAAATACTTTAACAATTTCGGCATTTTACAGGTTTTAACATTACTATTATGATACACTATCATTGCGCTATCACGGCGTTACTAATATTGAAATTCTTTAGGCTTAAGTCGATCGTTCAATAGGAAATTCATCACGAGGCAGCATATATTTTACGAAAATTTTTTAAATTCATCTGTCACGTGAAAATGGAAAACTGTTATAAGCCCTGCAAGCGTTGCTTTAGTGACAATTCCGACTAAACAAGTTTTACAAATAATTACCTACATTGTAGGCAATTTAAACGTTTGGGTAAATTAATTAAAGTGCTCCTATACGAAAGAAAATACTCTATTAATATTGAATACATCATACATGTGTATTGTCAATATGATAGCTGAAGTCATAAAAAGTATGGTACAGTTAATATGTATGAAACAAGATTCTTTTTTGAAGCGATGGAAGTCTCGCATATTGAATTCTATGCCAGTTTCGCGCAATCACCACAGTTGCATTCAAGATAAAACTTCGACTCATTTAATGTCACGGAGCATAGTAATCCTTTTTCCTATATATAAAATATCGCCAAGATATAAATGTACACTTATATCACGTGCTTGAGTTTATTAAGCAAGGGAAAATAATCTTGATTTATATAACTTTAATCCTATTATTTATGGCAAATAAAAGCTAGAGATATATGCTGTCTTAAAAAAGAAAAAAAGAAAAGAGAAACAAAAAGATAATAATAAATAAATAGTTTGTAAGGCAAGTTTCCAATGAGAAAAGAAAATCCATCGTCTAAATTTACGCAATGCTAATTTAATCCTATCCCGAGGAAATAACACCAATTAGGAAACGATAATATCAACGCCAACACTGCTTTAATAGGAATAAAAAGAAGAAAAAAAAGCTCTATACGATAGTACTACACACTTGTAATATTCAGTTCTTAATATAACTTCAACTTTGACGGTTTGGGAGATATCAAATTGCATTAGAATCGTCAACATATTTAAAAATCCTCCTGCACAAACAAGTCGCAATATAATGATTATTGAGGCATAGACGTGAAAAGAGTCAATTATTGTATTATCTAATGAAATAATTTCGTTATACTTAAATTTCTTAATCTCGCGAGAAGCATAAAGTGATAATTAAGCTCAAAAGATTACAAACGAAATACTACAAATATTTACCATCCTTTTCATCGTTTGTATTAATAAAGCGCCGTATAAAGGCATCGATGAGACGCAATTATTACAACGATATCGCTGACATCCAATGTCCGGATGATACAATATCGAAAAAGCTGGTGGGACAAGGCGACTCTTGTTAAGCCGAGCTGGGGGAGTTTCTCTTTACACGGATTCCGCTCCAGCCCCTCTCGTGTATCGGTAAAAATGATTTTTAAGGGCCACCAACGATATCCATCAGATTTACGAGCTCGGGATTCCGAAAATATAGTTTTTACGCTCTCGAAAGCGTCGGAATCGTGCCGCCCGCGGAGGACGTGGCGGTCGGCGAGGGGCGGACTGTAGGGGCAAGAGTCAGTTAGAGAATAGGAGTGGGAGCGAAAGCAAGAGAGGAGACATCGCCGGCGCCTCGACCACGAGCAACGGGATGCGGAGTCCCGTCCCGGTCGACTTCCACTTGGGTCCGGGGGTGGGGCGTCGCGGTGGCTACGGCACAGCGCGGGGGCAGGCGGCGGTGGCGGGGGTGGGGAGAGCCGGCGCGGGCATGCGCGCGCCCCCGCGTCGCTTCGGCACTCGGGATATTCGGCGGTTCGCGCGCGCGGCGACGCTCAGTCTCGCCCGCCGCTGTCCACTGCAGATATACGTGCAATTGCTTTGTCAACAGTGCTTAAGACCTTGACGTACCTAGAGCGGTCCCTCTCTCTCTCTCTCTCTCTCTCTCTCTCTCTCCCTCTCTCTCCCTCTTTCTCTCGCTTACTCTCTCTCTCTCTCTCTCTCTCTTTCTCTCTCTCTCTCTCTTTCTCAATCACTCTCATTCTATCCCTCAGGCTCATTTATAATACGGGCGTCGGGCCTTTAAATTCCCGCGCCTCGGGAGAGCGCGACTCTCGGGAAGAAAGTGCGTGCGGCAATTATTATTAGTAAGGCCTCGGTCACGCGCGCAGGATCGAGCAGATCATAGGGTTGATACCGATCCCTCGTTCGCCAGCAGTTTAATTGTGCGTAATGACGGTCCGTTAGCGATGTCAGTGCAGCACCGTGGTCGTTTGGCCCTGAGTGCTTGACGACTGGTGTTCCATTCCCGATTGTTGGCGATTGTTGACACTGCAGTGCACCCGAGGGTATAACCCTTAGCCCACGTAAAGAGCAAGAGGGGAAGAGTGTGCGAAGAGATATACGAGCGAGCCTCGTTGCTTCGAAATGCCTTGCCACGTGTGGCTGGGACTGACTTTAATGGCCCTGCTGATAACGGGTAAGTCTTTTTTATTGTGAGGGCTGTGTGGTAGACGTTGATGTTGGTATGTTGGTAGTACGTCCGTGTTGCCACTGAATTGTTTCACGGAGTTTCCGAGCGATGCAGGAGACGGGCATTAGTGGCTGATACGTTGGGTAGATGGGACCATGATCCCCGCGGCCAAGTTAGCGTTACCGAAGTTTTGATGCTTGTATTGTTAGTTGAGCGCCTGAAGACCAATACTACACCGATAATACACGAAGCACTTAAACTAGTTCTTTAATAAGAACAATACGGATCAAACGTTCATTTATTTTAGCTTCCGTACATTCAAGTTTGCCACGACTATGATTTACTCGGTAGGGAGCCGAGGTAAAGCGAGAGCAAATGCCAAGGCGCTCGCTAGAGAGATAAAATATTTTAGAGCGTATTTATTTATCCTCTTTAGTGTGTTAGACGAAGCGCTCTTTGTTCTTCACCTGGAAAATCTCGTCCGAGTAGAAATCAAGTCAAACACATATATAAATTTACGTGCGCGTGTGTTTAACGTTTAGTTTAATGCTTGTGTCGCTTATGAGCATCAATGTTCGTTCTTATAGTTTGCAAAATTGTGTCATGATCGTACGAAAGTCAAAGCTGTCGTGGCGATAGTTTTATTTTATGTATCTCACGGCTTCTCAGCTTTTATCACGTATGATCGCCGTGCAAACTGAAATTTCGTCACTTACAAACGATGACGAAATTTATGCTCTACCTTGTAATGCACTTACAAAGAAATATATCCAACTGAGTGAGCGTAACGATTGCTTTGAAAATTCTTGTCTATTATATATACAAGGAAGCACCTTAAATCTAACTTTCTCTATTAATGTTTTTAATTGCACGTTTAAATTAACATTTTTGTGAAATTCCACGAACAATTTTTTAAATCGAATAAAAATTGCCGCGCTTACGGCTAATGAGATAATGAAGTTAAGTCAATATACAACATGTTTTTAGGTAAATTTTTGTGATGGTAGAAATTTAATGGAGGGGTTTCGAATCGTCCGAATTGAATGTTCTTTCGGAAGTAATTGACTAATGGAGCTTCCTTGATATTTTTCCATTACAGTGACATCCTATTCCAATACCAAGGCAGCTTTGTAAGTTTGCGAATTTTCGAAAACATAATAATGGTTGAAGCCAAGATGAACGCGTCACGAGAAACAAACAAAAAAGAAAAAAAAAAAACGTAGAAAAAAAATAATAATATGGGCATGGCATTTTACTTTATTCCCTTGTAAAATGAAAAGCGAATGAAATTCTGGCTCGCTTAGGTAAGAAAAGAAGCTGAAGGAAAAACTTGCGTTCGAGATAAGTGTATAAGTAAATTGAAGACTCAGAGAGAAAAGAATAAAAAGATGATGAATAGGAACCACGTGGTACGGCGGAGGAGTGATTATAATTAATTTGCTCAATTTTGATAATATAAAACTGCACTTAGTGTTTACGCGTATAGTTTTTTCTAACTATGTCGCTCCCTCCCTCGTCTACAATTGAACCCTTTAATTCGACAATGTAGGGAGAAAAAACATTTGAGTGTTGGCAGCTTAATTCGAAAAACATGCAATTTGCTTGGTTAAGAAAAGAGAATCAAATTCGCGATAAAAGTAATTTCTTTTACTAAGTATTTCAAGCACAAGAACTGAATTTCATTTACGTGTTTAGCAATGTTAATATGAAATTCAAAGTTGATGAAATAATTCAATAGTTTAGTGCAATGAATAAACGCCTCCCTTAGGTATACATCGGTGAAAGAGAAGTATTAAGACTGCAAGTCCACTTATTCATCTCTATAACATTCCTCGCGATTGAGATGACTTACAGAGAAATTTTAACTTTTACGAAGAAAAGAGTCTAGCTCGTTTTAGACTAGTGAGTAATTCTAATTGCGAACCGTCTACTTGGAACCTCCGTTTTCTATCTTGTATCTCTATCTCTCCCTCTTTCGTTCACGCACGCACTCTCTCTCTCTCTCTCTCTCTCTCTCTCTCTCTCTCTCTCGTACTCCCGGCCATCTCTCTGTCTCTTAACTCGGGAGAGAGCTTGCGCACTCTTCTTCCCTTTTGACGCCGCTTGATTACAAGCTCGAAGTGTGGACGAACAATCTCATTTGAATTCGTCCCTCTTCGACTTCCACTATCCAAGCAACGGTAGCCGCAGTTTCAAGCGCCCAAAGGTCGAGACGAACTGTAGAACGTACCATTTTCCAATTTCCTTGGAGCTTCTATTAGAGTGCATTTTCACTTTTGCATACAAATACATTTTCCTACACCGCGCTTGCTTATGATTATGCATCGCACCCTTTCTCGGATAATTTTAAATTCCCTTCGAGTGCACTACTGTGGCACACGAAATAATAAAATTATTGCTGAAAGAAAAGCACATTCCAATTATTACTTCGGCCCATTGCTTTTTCTTTTTTTATTTTTAATTTTTTTTTTTTTTTTTTTTTTAATTTTCTTTATCCCCATCACCTTTTTTTCTATATCGCGGCAGTGTAAGAAGTGCATTGCATTCAATAGTCTATCGTATTTCTAATAATTGAACAACTGCGTGTATACTTTAATTACAAAGTTCATAAATAGATTTATCAAAAAGGAAATAAAAAAATTATAATAAAAAGAATGGAATGAATGGAATATATCGAGTTGATAGAAATTGCTTTAGTCCGTCTAAAATTAAAAAGAGAAAACAAATATTTTATATATGCAAATTGAAGTATTTTATTTGCGACGCTTTATATCTTACTCTCTTCTACGTATAATATTTACGGCTTTGTGTTCCAGTATCGAAAAGTACATAAACTTAACAAGATATTTAGTTACTTAAGAAGCACATTTCTACGTTTATCGGCTATTTTCCAAATTTATTTGCTTACTACTACTAATAAACGGTACGAGTCGAGTACTTGTAAAAATATAAAAAACATATTTTATAGTAATAATCGCGCGATTATTTATCGAGGACAATATATATTGTGTGCCAAACTTTCCAGTTTAGAACTAAAGTGCTAAGCAATCGAAGAAAAAATTATGGAGAAACACATATTGCAATACATTTCGTAAATATTTATATTCTATTGAGATAAATTTTAAGAAAAACGATCTTTTCACGCTAAATAAAATGACAAAGATAAATATTCCTCGTAATGAGAGTTGAAAAAATAAGCGCGCGCCTACACGCATGCACATATACACATATAATTGTTGATCCGCATTTGCAGCAGAATGCATATTCGTGAGTGTGTGTATGCGTTTATAAATATTTGTATGCGCTTACGAGTCTGTTTGTACATATGTAATTTAATGTTCTTAACTTTGGCTATTTTGTTTAAAGAAATGCTAAAATAATATTCATCATACGATAATGCAGATTACTAAAGCAGGCTCTTACAATTCTAAATTAAACTGAAAATTTATTTTATTGAAATCAAATCAGAGGCTAATTTAGCAATACCCCTTTTATTTAAAAGAGAAATCTTGCTGAGAAATGTTTAAAAAGTAATGCAGTGTGTAATCTGATTACCACATAAATTAAAGAATAATTTAAAACATTATGCTACGAGAGCATTAAAAGCGGAGTTGAATTATTTTTTCAAAGAGTGAGAATACAAACACAGAGAGAGGGGGGGGGGAAGATAGAGGAACAAGCATTCTTAAATGTTATAATTAAAGATATAATTGTAGAAAGTAGTTGCGTTTTATCTTCCGCCTAGCTAAAGTTTAACAAAATCTATTATTTAAATCTAGAAGCCAAATACTATTGCGCGTGCCTTTTGCAAGGCAATCGCTGTAATGTTTCTATAGCTCTTGCAATGTCACTTATATGTACTTGTATCGTACACGTCATAGCCGGAATAGTTTGACGTTAAATGCACGTACAATCCAACGTTAAATTCGTGCTCACACAGGCAAAGGGTTTTACCCGGAACTTTACATATGTGTTTGTCTCCCTACATATCTCCCACGGTACCCTGAAATATCTCATCATACATAAATGTGTATGTGTGCCATCTATACGCGCGCATGTCCCGTACACTCGCTTTCCACTACTGCGGTGGTAGCGCAGCAGCGAATAGAAATCTCGCGAAATTGTTGCGAACGTAAGGCTGAACGTCTACCGGCACTGGCACGCTGTGACGCTGACTTGTTGTAGATTTGCAACCCTCTTGAATACTTGAGAAAGTGTAATGGCTTTGCTTATCCTGTTGAACACTAATACACTACTTTCCCTCTCCTCGGCTTTTATTCACCTTTCCAGTCAGAGGCTTTCTTCCTTTAATTGACATTCAAAATTTCTACACCTCTCTTCCTTAATAATTATCACAATCAGTCGTTGGATTGAGGCCACTGGGCGTCTCAATTATCTCCGCAGAATCCGATATTTATTCATAAAGATGAGACGGAATAATAAGATATTTACCACGTACAAATTTACTGTGAATCAGACAGTGACTTTAATTGGCAAATATTAAGTTAAACTAAAATGGATGAAACGTTTGTAGAGCGGAGCTACATATTAGTATGTAAAAGACAATTCTTTTTATATTCATTATAATTGAAGAATTCAAAGTCTTTGTCTTTGGATTGAGATTCTTAAATATTTTAACGTCAATATTGTAACGTATGACAGTAGTCGTAATAAGATTATTGAAAGGAGTAGCTATAAGAAAAATAGGATAACTTAATATTCTCTATATTAACGTATTATAAATGGTAAAAAGGTAAAGATGTTTATGCGATGTGTCATTTATATTTATAACGTAAGCAATTAATTTTTATGATTAAATCACATACCATATGATTAAGGAAGTATATATAGTGTGTGATAGATTGATTTTAGAAATCTGAAAATTCCTCTACAATTCATTTCATTATTTTTTTTTCTTTTCTTGGTTATATGTAAATACCCGCTTAATCTCATACGAAAACAAAGTAAAAGGAAAATTTAATTTTATTTAAGTCACAACACTCCAC